TAGTATCTTTAATTTAATTAAGATTTCTATCATTATCAATGAAATCGTATGTACAAACTCAATTTTATAATCCTTAAACATGTCATCAAACACACCTTTAAATAATTTGAACTAGATTGTTTTAAAACCTTTGCAAAAGTTTTTTGTAGCGCCATATGCTTTATTTATTCTTCTTTATATACTTTACATATCTTAGAACTAGCATGATGATTGTCATTACAATTAGCACATTTTGTTTGTTCTCGTGATACGGTAAAATGTTTGACCTCATGGTCTCCAGCACATCTGACGTACTTAATTAATGAAATTTGTGCATGTATCTGCCATATGCTCATATTTTTAACGTCTATAACATTGAAGAACTTGAAAGAACTTTTTAAACTGTTCAATTTTAAGAGATAAATATTCTACTTTAAGTCCATTTTCAATTATTTTTTATCATCATCTTCATTTAATAAAAATACTTTTATAGAAGTAGTAGGTTCAGCTGTTTTCCGACTTATGATTTCTTTCAGCCTTATTTGTTTCTACCCCTTGCTTATTTAACTCCGTCATAATATCCTCCGGATTTATAGAATGATTAACGCCTTTAACCACAATTACTTTTCGGTTCTGCATAGCATATGCCAATTTTACAAAACTCTGGCATTATTTAACATATTATCTGGCCATTTTTCTAAAAGCTTTCTATAAGAGTAATAATCTTCCGATTTAATGAAAATATTCGTATTTCTTAACATTTTGACATTTAATATTTTCACACCAGGAAAGTTTGTTTTAATTGCTTTACAAATCTGAAAATCATTAAGGCTAGTTGGAATGTTTTCTACACTTATTGGAGATTTTGTTTTCTTCTCACAGAATTCTCACCTTCCTTTTTTAAATTTTTTAACTGTGTTTTCTTCTTGCTTTAAATTATTGACTGGTGTCCTTACTAACTTTTTTTTTTCAAAGACTTGCCAACTTTCTTCATCAGTAGAATTGTTTGAATCTATACTTTAATTCATTAAGTATACTTTCTTGATTTGTAATGTTTTCCTTACTTTTTGCGTCTTTTTTTCGATGTTGTTGGATTTGTTCAAAGGCTTATATCTTTCATTTTAGGTATTTTTGAAATTGATAGGCTTAATAATATTCACGAAAAAGTTTTTCTAAAAATTCACTTTCAAACAAGAAACTAATTTAAAATTGTTTAAGGTCATTAAAATCCAGAGAATTAAATATAAAGTTATTTGAACTAGAACTAAAATTGATAAACTTAATGTTAAAAAACACGGTCTATTCACAAGAGTAAGGGAGCCACTTAAAAACATTTAATAAGGAAAGATCTAACCAAACCCAGCTTTCTGTGAGGAACATACTCCATTCATCTATTTATAGAAATCACGGTACTCCCGATACTTTATAATCCGTGAAGCACTACTTTTAGTAGTTACAACCAGATCATAGTCCTGGTACTTTAATAGTTGTTAACAATATACATCTCTGGTTGTCTTTAATAAGATGATGTCCTGGTACTTTAATAGTTGTTAACAATATACATCTTATTAAAGACAACCAAATCATCGATGTATATTGTTAATAGCCCATGAAATACCACTCTTTTTAAAGACTGGGAAATAATCGATATATCTCAGTCCATAATTTAAATCAGCTTGATTGCGTGTGTTAGTCACAAATCTACTTTCATAATAAAACATAAATATAGGAATTTATTGTACAAGGAGAGTAGGTTGAGCATAATTTTGGAAAATTACATTACAAAAATTCATTTTGAATGGTTTGTTTGTTTGTTCGTTTTGAATATCGCGCAACGCTACTTGAGGGATATCTGCGCTAGTCGTCTATAATTTAGCAGTGATGGATTAGAAGGAAGGCAACTAGTCAACACAACCCACCACCACCACCTCTTGGGCTACTCTTTTACCAATAAGTAGTGGAATTGATCGTCACATTATAACGACCTACGGCTAAAAGAGTGAGTATGTTCGGTGACGGAGATTCGAATCCGCAGATTGCGAGTCGAGCGTCCTAACCACTACTCCATGCCAGGCCTAAATCGTCACAGATGACATTATGTAACTTATCAACTAGATTGTAATAACTGAAAATTACAAGTAATTTTCTTACTGATTTCTTAGATATTTTATTACTACCTATTCAGAATTGTATTAATTGTTTATTCATATAATTAAAATGTGTTTTTGTTTTCAATGTTAAATACATATCTTTTAATTTCAGGACTTTTTTAAAATGAATATTAGGAATTTAAGCTAGATGTTTGTATGGATGTTGTTGCACTTTCTTGATCTCTATGTAATCTTTTACAAATTGTCCGGTATTGTCACTATTCCTTAATTTTTATAAATATTTTAGGAATATTTTGTTTTAAGCATATTCGGATTTTTTGGCAACTTTAAGAGTTAAAACTACTTTAACAAAACAAAATTTAATACTTACTTATAAAAGAAATGTAAACTACGACATACAATATGAAACAACAACAGAGAATCATTCTTACAGGGTTTTTCAGGTATCGATAAATTTATGTAATATAATGATAAGACTTTTTACACCTAAATATGATTTACAATGAGAGTAAGTTTCATATCACATTTGGGCATCACAAGATTAAATGTTATATTTTAGTTTAATTTCAAATACTAGAAGAGTAAATAAAAAAAAGACATGTATATATGCTCTTTTAAATAAAACATAAACAAATAGAGTTTAATCGATGCGGTAAACTTAGGGCCTCAAGAAGGTTTTATTCGATTTTCAGAGAAAGAGTTTGTGTTTTCTTATAACAAATCTGCTGTGTCTATTGAATGGAATAGAACCTCTGATTTTAGCATTGTAAATCGGAAGAATTACCGCTGTCCTACCGGGGGACTCAGACAAAAAAAAAGTTTACTGGAATATATTACTGATTATTGTTGCATGATATACTGCGAACTTACAAATTTGATTTTCAAAACCTTAAATATTTAAGATATCGAAGTATGAATAATATTTTTAGACACTCTAGAGCTATTTAAAGTATTATTTACACCTGCGTTTCTTGTTCTTAAGATAAATTATCGCGAAGACCCTGCAGTGAGAAAGTATATATATAGAAGACTGACTAGGTTAAATAATCTCAGCAGCTTTAAAAGCTAACCTACTTTAACAAATTATAAAATGTATTACATTTTTACTTCCCACAAGTAAATTAATCGCATTTGTAAGCTATTATTGATATCGGTTTACACATACAACGTTTATTCTACTATTGATAAATTAAAAATATACACGAACAATTATAGTGCTTGAGACTGTTAACTGGAGCTTTGCAAGAAGAATGTATAGCTGCGTTATGAACAGATTTGAGAAGCAAGTGACATCCCTATGCAATAATTTTATATTATTCATGAAGTTACGTTTATTGTATAATTTCTCTTTGTTCACATATCCTGTTAAAACACTTAAAGGCTGAATAAACAATATTTATAGTTAAAAGACCTCGCTGAGTTTTGTTAAAGAAACCTTTCTGCAAGTTGTAAAATTTTCCTTGCATGTCTCGTTCATACGTCGTTTGACAATATAAAAACTTTGTAATGGAGTCTCCCGTATCTAAGCAGATATCTTGCAGTTTACTGTAAGTAATCTTAAAAACAAAATTAACCAACTTATATATATGTTATGTTTCAATAAAAGTTTCACTTATCTTTTTCTCACATTCTCTATATTTTGT